TGATTATTCTGTTCTCTTTCTATAGTGTTTTATGTGAGGATTAATCTAGAATTTATGGTTAAATGTAGACACAATCTGAATTTGCATTTCATACTATTTTATACTTATTATGAATATTTATTAGTTTTGCCCTTTATGGAAGGTTTGCAATTTAATATAGATGGAGGATGGTGGAGAGAGAATTCCAAAACAATCTTTAATGGTTCTCCTAGAAGGTATTCTTACATTATATCTTATAATATTATGTGGTATCACACCTCGGATTTCATGGATGAGTTTGAAGTACAACATAGAAATGTTTTAATAAATAAATACATAAATAAATAAATAAATAACCTTCTAGAGCTCCCCAGTACAGATCAGTAAGCCAAAATGGTTGGTAGAAAAGTCTGATGCAAGCTGCTAGATCCAATTCTCCATAATTATTTCAACACACACACAGAGTTCCTCATCAATTAACTCAAAGACCTCATGAATTTGTGGAGCATCAGGCATTCAGATTTCTGAATCAGTCAGACCCCTGGGTCTTTGCAACACTTTGGATGGGTTGAGCTCCTGTAAAAGTGTGAGCATTATTTGGTTCAAGGGCTGAATTCCAGTTTGGGTAGGTTCTTGGAGATGCATTCTGCCACTGCCTGGGGTCATGGGGCAGGACAAAGGTTAGAGAAAGTGAAGATGGCAGGGCTGGACACAACTGCTATGAACCTTTTTTTTTTTTTTTTTTACTAGTAATAAAAAGCATTGCCCAAGTATAGGCAGGTCTACTCTGGAGTAAGCCATAGCGCAACAGCTGTCCGGTTTGCAAAGCATGGTTTCAAATGTAAGCAACTGTACTCAGGTTGGACCTTGTATAATACGTCTTATGCCTTCCAAACCACAGCTCAGTTCTGTCCAAGAGGTTATTTATAGTTTAATTGCTGTTCAATACCTCTTATCACCAGTAAGGGATAACAGCAGAAGCATACAGATGGCGTCCCATCCCTGCCCTATGTCATTCTATTAGTTTTAGATGCAATGGCATTTCTGGTCCCAATAAAACTTGTTCCCATTTACACAGCAGCAGCCCATCTTAACCACTGGATTGTTCTGTAGTTTGATGGCAGCAGGTATCATGGTGAGTAAAACATGGAATTTAAGAGGATACTCATCAAATGCTAATACTCCCAAATGAAAAATATAGCAAGGATTAATACTGATGTCTGTGCATATATTTCTAACTCCTCTTTTCCCAAATACTTAATCTCCAGGATTTAATCTTATCATGTGCTAACACCAACTGTGTGGGGCAGGTTAGGTTGAATGATTGTGACCAAAGTCTCTCAGTGAGCTGCATAGCTGAGCAAGGCTTTCAGTCTCCCCTTCTTCCTCAGGTTTCTTGGGATACCAGTCCAGTGGACTGGAGTACGGGATTAGGAACTGGATAGTCTCACAAATTGAACTGTTGTTAAATAAGTGAATAGAAAAAAATGCAAGGTTTACGGCTTGAAGAATAATAAACTCCTTTGCCTTCCACTGGAAATTGAAAGAAAGAAGAACTGAAGCTGAGCATGTGATCTCTGAGAGTCACAAATGCAGTCATAAAAGTGGCACATAAAAGTCTAGGGATGTATTAATTAGGTGTTGTGCTTCTAATAAAGCAGAGAAATATTAATAAGGCATGATGAATACTGATGATAAACCATCATTTCAAACACTGTTTCCACTTTAGAGGTAGGTTAAAAGAGGTGACATATTTACGAGAATGACCCATTGCATAAACCTCCTAGTCAGCATGCAAGAACAGAGTGCAGACGAATGATCCCCCGCTGTACGTGTCAGACCTGAAGACAGGTAGGCAAACGGCAGATCAAGAGGCTGCAATCCTGGCTGATCATTGCACACATCGCGTGCAGCCTTGCAAACAGGCTCAGTGAAAATGACTAGGTCGAGTGCAGGTTCTTGTTGAAGAATGGGCTATCCAGCTGTCCGATCCCAGGCAAGATAACGAAGCATGGTAAACAATCAAGCATCCCCTCCCTCGGAAACACCCCGTCTCCAAGGCTGCTTTCCTGACTGGGGAGCAGCCACGGTGGCTCTTTCTGTGTCGACTGAGAAGGGCCAAGTCCGTTGGCCAGTTCCTGCTCAAAGCCTTGTCTCCAGCCTTGGTTTGGGGAACATGAACTATGCTGTGGCCACTTGGACTCTGCTGAGGTCCCATCGATTTCTCTGCCCACTGGTCTTGCCCATAATGAAATACCTGTTGTGTGTGATGCTTGCTGAAACTCCAGCTTCTGCCACAGTCACTGGCTAAAGCCCAGAGGGTTTTTTAGTCTTGTGCCTGCACTGAACATTTAGTTTCAATGGGGTGCTGTAATTGGTGTTATTTTGTAAATCTCATTAGTAAGGTAAATTGGTTATGCTTTTTTCCAGGAGCAGACTTGAAGAAATTGTTTTAGATGCATCATTTTGCAAGGACATTTCTCAGAAATCTCTGCCTGATGTATTTTTATAGCCACACATGGGAGTATGGTGTGTGTGTGAGAGAGAGATGGATTTAATTTCCTAGATTTCCAGCATAAATCAGCAGTACTGAATTCTACCTCCAGTGGATCTGTATCTCCAATTATTCTGGTGTTTTGTCCCTCAAGCCTAGGATGAAGGAACTTTGAGACTGGTAGTTCTTGAGATAACTTGTCACCTGGGGAAGCATAAATCTGTCTGTGTCTTAGACTAGAAGTTCTAGTTTAACTGGATGAGCTGGCTCTGTATTCTGGAGAAGTGCCTGAGCAACTCACACTGTTTCTTGCTCTGCCCAAACACTGCCTTGGGTTGGCTCCAGCAAACTGAACAAGAGGGGTGCTAAGTAAGATAATGGTTCCAAAAACATTTTCAGGTGTGATCTACAATTTAGCCTTGCTGTCATTCCTCATAGTAATATGCTTTCTGCCTAGGTCCCAGAAAGGCAAACCCCCAGAGAAATGTGTACGTCCTACCTATAAGTTACTCTGACACTGCTGTAGACTATAGCAGCAAGCAGGCTGTTGGAGCTCTCGTAAGGAAATACACATGGTGTTGGTCCAGCACCTGTGCTTGATGCTGACCAGGTCTCCCATGAATGGCAGGGTCTTTCCATTTCATTTGCCACATTAGAGCCAAAGTGTTGGGAGCCAAGCTTCCTCCTTTAGACCACACTGACCAGTCTGTTTTCCTTGCAAAGCATTCTTCATTGCTTCTACACACAAATCACCCCAAACAGATGTCTGAGCATGCACAGAGCAGTTTGCTGAATGCAATCTAGCATTCACCTCCAGGGACTCTCCTTATGAACAAGCAAGGGCCCCAACCCTTTGCGAGGGGGTCCCTGAAGGTGAGCACAGCTCCTCTCTGCATTCTGCTCATCTAATTGCAGATGCCTTGCTAAAGGGTCCAGCTCACGGGGGGTGGGGGGTGGGCTGGTCTGCATCTGAGAATTCCTCATCTCCAGCAGCCCATCCCTCTGGCTGGACATCCAAGCCATTCCCAGGATCTTGAGATAATCACCTTCTCTTCCTCTGGCTGTATCCCAGAACCTTGAGCTAGCCCATGCTCCCCAGTCTCACTGAAACATTCCTCATCCCTGATTCTGGATCAGCATCTGGGATGCAGCCAGTGTTCCATGGGAAAGCTTGCCCAGGCTTGCCATCCCTCTGGCTTCCAACAGGTAGAAAATGAAGAGCAGCCTTGCCTAACACACTGCCCTCATGCTGTGCTTTGCTGAAAGATGAAGAAACGCCCAGACCGGGCTTCCATCACACTGGAACTAGTAGCATTGTTCCATTCTAAAAATACCAGATGTGTGCAGTTCTGCACACATGAGACAAAGAGATAAAAAAGCAGGGTATGCAAAATAGGAGAGCTCTGAAGCCAAATGAGAGCTTTTACAGTGCCTGAAAAATGGTGCTGCCTAGATGGAAGTGTAATATTGCTGCCTTTTATTTTGTTGGTGTTGTTTGCCAAATGCAAAGCCCACGATCCGGCCTAGCCAGGTTATGTGAAGAGGTTTGAGAGTCCTTAGCCATTTTCTGCAGCATCCTCTTAGCAGCACCATTCCATGAGGGGAGGGGTGATTTAGTAGGAGAGGCCACATTCCGCAGAAAGTTTCAAAGGCTTGCTCTTAAATATATAAATATTTGCAAAACAAACACAGGGATGAAGAAATATCCATTTGTTGCCATTTGTTGTTATTTATTACTATTTATACCAAGTGTGGGGAACTGCAGGCCCAAGAGCCTAGCCTGGCCTTCATGGGGTCTCAAGCCAGCATCCCACAGATGGCCACTGGTGGCGCCACTGCTAAAGGCTTCCTCTTCATGGCTGCCACTTGCTTGCCTGGCAGTGAGCAAGTCCTCAGCGGCGCCTCCCCCTGCCCCCCAGCCCCTCCCCTGCCTGGTGGAAGGAGAGAAGCAGGAGAGCAAGTGGATTGCAAGGGAGGAACAAGGCCAGAGCAGTCTTGCCAGCGGCCCGCTGGCTGGAGAGCCCCAGCAGGGCCCAAGCAGGCCTACCCTTGACTCTGGCCATGGTGGGGAACACCGTATTTTTCAGAGTCCCTTGCCCATTCCCACACGGGGGTAACTGTCCTGGCATCCGTGCTGGCCAGGCCTGGTGCAAGGCACATGAGTGATGTTTTTGACAGCAGAATTAAACTCTCAGGTATCAAAAAGCACATATTTCCACCCCTTTTGCTGATGGACTTGACAATCCTTTGCTGTGGGCTGCCTCTGCCCACACCGCCAGCCACGCTCAGGGCAAGATGAAGGCCATGATGGGACCTGGCACTAGCTGTCTGTAGAAGGCTACCTACGCTACTTTCAATAGTGAACTCACACATGACACTTGTGCGTGCACATGCACACACACACAGGATCAACAATGTCCAAATAATGATGCAGAGAAAAAGCCTCTACATATTTTAGGGTGAATCATCACCCATGCATTCCTGGAAGCAAAAGTCAAATATCTCTTCCATGGTGAAAAACTCAAAGACAAACACAAATGTCTGCCTTTACAGCATGCAGACACAGAAAATATAAACACAGTGGTGCGTGCTCTTTCTCTCGCACAGCCACACACACTCAGGAAGCAGACACGCTGATTCACTGCCTCATCGGAGACGCCGCAGCGAGACAAAGCACACGTGGCCCGGCTGCTTCTCTGCCCAAGGAGGACCAGCAGCCAATGTGCCCCGTTTCTCACTGGATGACCCAGCTAGTCATGACCTTTCTGCCTGACCAGCCCCACAGGATAGTTATACGGGGAAACATGGGGATAGCTTTATTTCCTGGAGGAAAGACAGAATACAGATGCAATAAAATAAATAATAGCATATGATAACAAATGCCCTGCAGCCATACTAAGCCATTCTACATTGTAAAAGGGCCCATCTTCGCACTGTGTAGGAGGGAGAAGAGGCACCAGATTTCCCCCTTGGGGATTCCTCTTGTCCAGGGGAGGGAGCCTGAAGCCTGAGGCCCAACTGCAGAAGTCATTAAACGTTCACAGCTTGGAAAACTGCCTCTTGCTTTTCATCTGCCCCACCCATCTTGCTCCGTCTTCTACATGAACATCAATTCAAACACTTTTTGTTAACAGTGTGAATAACTCGGCTTTGTACCTCAAAGACAAATGAATTAATTGTGGCATTGCCTTGGAGGAAGAGTTGCCGCCTCCACCAAGTTCATGGCATATTGTGGGAATTTTCAGGTTTGTGTACACAGTGAGGTGGTATTGTAAACAGTGAGGTTGGCAAAAAAAAAAAAAAAAATCTAAAGCTGCAAGTACTCAATGCAGAAAAGCATCCTTTGTTCATTTCTCAGCCACCCTGCCCCAGACTGCATTTCCTTAGACATTCCCAAACCATTAGCAGACTGGGCAATAACTCTGAAGGACATGGCAGTGCTGCTTTGCGCTTCTTCCCCACCCAGCAGTGTGTTTATAAAAGCCAAGCCCTGCTTTGCAGGGCTGCTGAAACCCAGCCTCAGTCACACTTTATGCAATATAGTGATATGCTGGCAGCAGGCAGGTCAAAAAAGCTTTTAAAACATTTGTGTGCGTGGAAGAGGACCTGGCCTAGAAAGTCCAAGTCCCCCTCTTATTGCTTCTACTCCTTTGAGGCTTAGCTGCTCTTGACCCTCACAGTTGCACTACAATTCAGGATTTCCTAATTGTTTGGCCGGTGTGGTTAGGCTAAGACAAAAGGGCAGAGCAAAGGAAAAGGAAAAGTGGGGAGAGCTCAGAATGAGCCATGCAGCCCATTCCGCAGACAGGGCATCACACGACACGAATCTCTATGGCCAAACCTGTAGCCGAACTTATGGCCAATCCTATAAGCCAATTGTAGTCGGACTACATGCATGGGGTGACCACATGAAAGGTGGTAGCAGGCTCCCTTCCCCAAATAGCTGGACAAAGAGGTCGCCATACTGAAAGGAAGGACATGGAATTATTATTAACCTGCATTGCATGATTACACGTGGCCATAGGAAATCCAGGCAGAGAGTAGGGAGTGTCTTCAAATCCAACACTAAACCTTTTCCATACACAGCTACTCCAAATCCACTTGGTCACGCACAAGTAGGGAAGTGTGAGGAATCCATTCGGGGATGGGAATCCGCTGGATTTCCCGGGCTCGGTTCCCTGGGCTCCAGGCCAATTTGCAGAGGCCCAGTGTCCACATTCTGAGAGTGCGTCCAGTGTTCCTGGAGGAGGTTGTCAGGCATCGAGTTCGCCTGCTGTACAAGTTGTGGCTGCCACTGGCGACAGCATGCAGTGCCGAAGTTGGCCGCTGCGGAGGGGCCCCTGGCGCACCGCTGTCCTGCACTACCTTCTTTGCCTCTGGCAGTTGTGGGAAGGGGAGTTTGCTGGTTCTGCAGATGAGGGTCAGCGAGCATTCATGGCCTTCAGCATGAGAGGAACTCTGCAGATCCTGGAGGGGTGGATTTCAAGAGGGCTTGTACCAAGCCTGCACTCAAGGTTGATTAGGAAATGGTGCCTATGGTCCGGAATACAGCAACTTCTAGGGATCATCTCCAGATAGGTCAAGAAATCAACATGCCACAATAATTTAAAAAGAAGGCGCAGTGGCCAGCAGCCCAAGAGAATGATGCAATGGCAGTGAGATCAGAGGTACTTGGAATGGGGAAATGTGCAAACTGTAAAGGAAGACTGCCATTCTTACGAATCCCTCCCTGCTCCTGCTCCTGCGCTTCTGAAAGGCCACCAGGAAATCCCCCAAAGCCCCCACACGGCCTGTGCTGATCCCCAGGCAGGGTCCCAACCTGCTGCACGACTACAGGCTTTTTGCTGCGTCCTCAGCTGCACAAGCCCAGTGGGGGGCTGTTCCTGGGATTCAGGTTCACTAGTACAAGATGCCACCTACACAATGATTTAAAGAGACCTCCCCACTGGTCGTTGAAAAGGGTCCAGCTGGTTGCTTCAGATGCCTCCAAATCAGCCTTCCAAGCAAAGCTGCTCTCTCCTGTCCTGGATTCTGTCCTGGGGGCTTTGGCTCCCACTCCAGCACAGGGGGAAGGCCACCCCCAAGCATCCCTGCGTTCATGGATCAGATGGGCAGGAGGAGGGAAACCTGTCAACCCGCGGGCAGCTGGGGCTCTCAGTGTTTCCTGTGGCTCTGCAGGTATCAGTCAAAAGTCCTCTGACGGCTATTCTGAAGGACACCTATTTCTTACAGCAAGGTGGAGGCAGGTGCTGCTCCTGTGGAACATGCATCATATATGGACTCCCGAAATGTTTTGAGGTAGCAGCTCGATTGCCCATGAGCAAGTGTGTGCACGGTGGGCCCATGCCTCTTGCCGTGAGGCTGCCCACCCCACACGTACATTCCTGCGGCCCCTCCGAAGAACCCCTAAGAGCTTGTCCTTGTGGGACAGGAGGAACCATTCCCCTGGAGCAGCAACCAAACTGTGCCTCTTGGGTGTTCTGTGAGGCTCTTGGCCTTATTCTAATCTCTTGCTGGGACATTCAGAATAAGGCCTGTTGATCATACCTGTGAAGCTGGGGGGGGGGGGGGGCATTCCCATGAAGCAGGTGTCAAGCAGTACCTCTTGGGATGCATGATGCTGCTAAGCTGTGGCACTTGAGCTGCTGGGGGGGGGTCCATTGGGTTTGGGGGGGGGGCTGGCAGGGTTAGATTTTTTCCTTATGGGCAGTGCAAAGTATAGGTGGTTCATAAAAGGAGGTTGCTGGCAGTGAAGGGGAAGGTAAGGAAGAGAGGAACCAATTCTACACCATTTTTGCATTATGTTCCATACATACATGCCTAGTGTGTTTGAAATGGTCCTGTTACATCATTCTCTTGCATTTCGGGCATCTTTTTTCAATTGCATTTTGATTTCTTTGCTTGTTTGGAGAAGATTTCTAGAAACGTTTGTGTTAGAGACCACAGGAATTGTTCCCTAAAACCACTCGATGGATAAGTATTTTGTTGTGGAGTAGCTATGTACTAATAATATTTATTAATTTGTTTATTTTGAATATGATCCCTAACATACTCCTGGATTTCCTAAGACCACTGGGAAGGGTGCAATGCATTTCAATAGCTATTGAAATGCCCTTCCTTTCAGTGCATCCCCCATTTCTCACAAAAGGGTTGGAGTGCATCTGAGCATTTTGCTTCCTGTCTTGCATTCTGCAAGTGCTACAAATTGGTTCTTTTTTCATTTGAAAGCTGGGCCAAATACTGGGTCCTCTGAGAGGTTGGGCTGTGAGCTGCAACTGTGGTTCATCCACCTACAGCTGCACTGACTGGGGCTAATGGAGCTCGTCGGCCAGAACTTCTGGAGGGCCACAAGCAGAAATCAGAAGAAAGCTTCACTCTTTGATTTGAACCGCTTTATTCAGAACGTTTGCCTATGTGAATTAGACTTGGCACAGAGCAGTTTTTCAGAAGGAGGCTTGCTTACTAGGCTAGGATTTTAATTTCATTTTTGACTGATTTTGTTACTTCAACCCTTTGTAAATCACATTGGTCCCACTTGCACTGGCACACATGTCGTTGTAAGTAAATCACATTGGTGCTTCAGATTGCAAACGGGATGGGATTAGCAGCTGCCTTTTTGGGGCTCTTTGTTTAAGGCTCATAAGCAGAAACAATAGTGATCAAATGAGCTCAGAGAATTCCAAGGATTAGACACCTTCCAACCAATTTTGACGTACACGCCAGAATTTTGCATATTATTCAACTGGCTGTGCAGATAACCTCTGCAAGACAAACTGCTTAGCCTCTGAGGTCATGGAAGCCCAAGTCCGGGAAGGAATCCAAGCCTCCCCTTCAGAGGTCACTCTCCACATGGCAGGGACGGTCTCTGCCACTTCTTCAGCACTGCTTGCAGCTTCTTCAGCACTGCTTGAGACGCTTGCAGCTGACCTTGAAAAGCACGGCCAGAATAGCCGAGGCAGCAACCGGCGTGCAATTCTGCTGTAACACTGCATTGTGCGTGGCAGTTGTCAAAAGTGTGTTGTTTCATCTGGTGAAATAGCTATTCCTGCCATCACCAGACTATTTGTGTTGGGGGCAGTGGTCTTATTTTTTCTGGTTTTTAGTCCAGAAAGGAAGGAAAGAACGGGTGATATAAGCATGCCATTAAGGAAAGGAGGAGCCAAGGCCAAAATAGGACTAGGGGAACTCTGCATGGGCCCAGAGGCAGAAGTGGAGGAAGGAATTGGGCAGCCAACAGGTGAGGCAAGGGAGCTTCTGTTTGCTGAACAGAAAATCTAGACAGGGGACTCCTGCCAGATTATTCTTTTGGAGTGTGTGTTTTGGGGCCCGTCTATCAACACTGCAACCTAAAGGCATAATTGCCCCAAACCAATTGGGGAACTGTATCTATTTAAACAAGCCAGCCGGGGTTTGCAGCACAATTCCAGTAAGAACTGGCAAGATAATCATCGAGGGAGATTATTGATCCCTGACATGCCTTGTAGGTGAAGCAGAATGGATCAAGTTATACCAATAGTGGAACTCTGTATCTTGGAGCA